TTGAAAATGAGTCCAAAGGCACAGGTCCAGCCTCTCTGCTCTGTCCTCATCTCAGGATGCCCCATTTCCCCAGCCAGGAGGTCAGCTGCCTCATCGGTGGGGGTGGGGGGCTTACTAATAATACTTTTCACAATCTCTTGGGAGGGTGGGGGTTGTTTCGGTAACCTCGGAGCAAGGCTTTTCTTGCCTCATCTGAAATTCCCAGCAGTTTCAAGTTCTGTGTAATTCTACGGTACCGGAGAAGAGTCCGTGGGCCAGCAGCTACTCCAGGGACACCCCCGCCCCGCTCGAGCCCCCCCAGGCCCCCGACGCGTTTCCGCTTTGGTACCGACAGGGAACGGGGTCTCGGGACTACCAGACCCTAGGGCGGGCACCTCCGCCTCCCAGCGTCTGGATGGCTCCGGGCATGATTGTGGAATGAAGGAGTGAGCCAGCCATTGCCCGATAGGTCCCCATCCCTGAGCACTTCTCTGTACAGTGTCCTGTGGCTCTAGCTCATCGAAAGAATTTCCCTGCTCCTGCCCCCAACACAGGCACGAGCACCCTGAGAAGTGGGAAGCTTTTAAGGAAATTTACTGTTTTAAGAACAAAATCGTACATTCCTCCACTCCTCACTGTGTGTAGTGCCCATTGAAGGGAATGGGGGAATTAGCATAATTGTAGAAGCGTTTATAAATAATGTGGTTTCTAGTAATTTCGGCTTTACCGGAACCTGTAAGGGCAGAACGGTTGTTAATATTATAAAGATGAAGAAGCAGTAAATGGCTAAAGGCCCTGCCCTAGCAGAGCTTGGAGCCCAACTGGACTCCTAAGCTTCCAAAGTTTGGTGTCTTCTCACCTCGCTGTGCTGAAAATCAGTTTTGTTTTGTTTTGAATTTTAAAAAATACGGAGGCTCAACAGGCTGTCATGGGCAGGGTGGGCCTGAGTAGGCGTTCCGGCCGATCATTTGACACTCCTGGTTCAAGTTGTCTAGAAATGTTGAACCCAGGCTTGTCAGGTGGGCAGCCACTGTCAGCAACCCAGCGGTGCTTGAAATTTAAGAGCACATGACTCCCTTTGGCCACTTTGCAATTTGAGAACTGTTCCTTACCCTAGGACTTGGCAGAACTATGAAAACACGGGGATGGCACGGGGTCTTTCCAGGTTACCGGTATACCCCAGAATATAATCTTGATAAAACACAGCCGCCTCTGAGCTTCATTTCCCTCCCTCGGAGTAATCATTGTTGATGTATTATGCAGGGAGTGTGCGCCTCTCACCAGGTGCTGTCCTCTCGTGAGGCGGCTTCACCTCTTATCCTGGAGGACACCTTCCAGGGCAGATTGTGTGCATGTAATTCACGAGGCAGGGTCTGGTCATTTGGGAGCAGAGACCCCCACCTTTGATGTGAGTGCCCTGACAGAGGGTTCCCAATGAGAAGTCCTCAGCACTGCCATCCCACCCTCTTGCAGCATTAACCTTGAAATCTCAGCTCTGACCCACTCAGGTAATTAGATCCTACTGAACTAAAATTTCCAGAGGAATCCTGAGGAATGAGCCTTCCTTTCCTCCAGGACACTGAGCAGGTGAGGTGGCCTGGGTGATGCTGGGAAGCTGGCCATCCAGCAGGAACCCACTGTGACATGGAGCAGTGTTTGAGCAATCATGGAGACCAGATTGTGTGAAAGGGGTGTGTGCTCATCATATCAGTGCTGATACTATTGTTTGCTAAAAAGATATATAATCTTGCAATATGGTGACAGCTGATAAACACATCCAGGAATTTGGAGACTGACTCAAGTCTTAAACCATAATCTGTGTTCCAGGAGGGTGAGTAGGGAGGGGTAGCTCTGGGCTCCTGGTGGTGCCACCCCCCCCCCTCAACTCCACCTCCCACCCACACACAGATTTCATCACTTGCATCAGTACAATTTACTCAGGTCTCTAATCTGTCTCGGGAAAATGATGGGGAGAAATTATTAGATGATAGCAAATGAGCACCAGCTGCTTTTTCTGATGATGAAAAGTCTACCAGTGATGCCTTGGACCCCCTTTGGGCCCTTAAAGCATAATCCTGCTGCCCTCGTAAGCATTAGGAGCTCCATCTTCTCTGAGTCACTCTCTGGAGTGAATGGGCAAGGGATTTGGAACTAGACAAGCCTACACAAACCCCAGCTCCGCCATTCACCAGCTGTGTGACTTTGAGCAAGTTACTTAACCTCTCTGAGACTCAGTTTCCTCATCAGTAGAATAGCTGTACATGTTTCTCAGGATTTGGAGGGGGGGCAATCATTCAACACATATGAATTGAGCACACCATGTGCAGGGTATTGTGTTAGAATGAAATCAGAGGGTTTTGAAGAACTTCAATATAATAAACACAGTTTAGATGTTATTATTGACAATAATAAAAAGAGGTTTCCTAAGAAAGCATGGGATCCATAACACAGAAGTGTGCCGGGATCCACCATAACAGAAAGAACATTGAAACATATTAATGAAACTTAAGCCTGTTCTGCATTCCTAACATAAGATGTACTTATGTCACGGTGTGGAACTGAGGTAGAGTGGACAGAACTTTGATCTTACAGCACTCATGAATTAGTACATTGATTCATTTCATAGACTTTGGCCTTCAACTTCTGTGCGTTTCACACAGGATCACATATTAGACAGTGACACCTGCTGGCAAAGTGTGATATTGCAGTGTAGCTCTATCAGACATTGTTGCTGGTCCAAATAAAGGGATGATGCAAAGTTTCAGTGGCTTTCAATGAGACACTGAGTGATAAGCAGGCTTGAGGAAAGTTCCTATAACCTTGAGAAGAAATTAATAGAGACCTTGGACTTGTGACAATAATTATTGCAAAATTCTTCAAAAACACTTTCACTGAAATAAAAGAGACCAGGCTGTGATCTTGACATCTGTCTTAACTCTTCACCTGACGTTTTCAACAGTCTTTCAGTGTATTATTTCCCCCCCAGGAGACATCTTCAATACTATAGTAAAGCTCCATTAAAATGACACAATAAAGCACACCTCCAAGTATTGATTCATTTAGTCTTCCAGTATTTATTTATTTATTTATTTATTTATTTAACTATTGAGGAATTGAGTGAATAAATACCTGCTGCAGAGCAAGTAGTAAACAAAATGGACCAGGTCCCTGGCCTTAGAGAATTTCCATTTAAAGTGGTAGACACAGACAATAAACAGTAAACAAGATCATTTCAGATAGTAACAAGTGATAAATAAAGAATCATTTTATATAGATTTGCTCTGTGGCCTATTTTTCTTTAGACACAGAGAGACCTGTATTTAGTGGCCTCAGTTCAGACTTTAAGACTCTATATAAAGATTCTGGAAAGGCCACCCTTGTGTCCCAAATGACAGATCAGAGACCTCCAGTAGTCAGGGACTTGTTTCTCCTTCCTGCCCCCCACAGCAGTTTGCTGTTAGGTAGACACCTTGAAAATGAGTCCAAAGGCACAGGTCCAGCCTCTCTGCTCTGTCCTCATCTCAGGATGCCCCATTTCCCCAGCCAGGAGGTCAGCTGCCTCATCCGTGCATCAGCATGTACAGGGAGTGAGCCACTCTATATGGCTCCCAGCCATTCTGTACTGGGAGCTTCTAAAGTTAGCACTGATCTCACAAGGGACCAGTATGGAGAGTGAGAATGGGTCAGCTCCGACTCTGCCTCACTCCTGAAAAAACACCTCCAAGAGCTCGGAGTATCAGCCCTTCCATCCTTCTGCACAGAGCCCGGCACATGCCGGCTGGGAATTGGTGATGCCACTTTTGGGTGGGCGTTTTCCCCCTCAGGGCTATCCTGAATATTTTTCTCCAGGGGCAGATCATGTTGGAAGAAGAAAGAATGAACACATCCAAACCTATAGGATGAATATATGAATACATACATATTTTTAAGCTAATTTTTTAAAAATTAAATTTATTGGGGTGAAATTGGTTAGCAAGATTATACAAGTTTCAATTGTACAATTCTATTCCACACCATCTGTATATTGCATTATGTGCTCACCACCCAGAGTCTAGTCTTCTTCTATCACCATATATTTGACCCCCTTTCCACTCTTCAACTTCCCCCTCCGCCATCCCTCTTGTAAAAGCTAACATTTATTGAGTGCTTACTCTATGCACTGTGCTCTGTGTTTTACATGTATCATGTATCAGTCAACAAGCAACAGGTACGGAGCTTAACAACAAGTATACAGAGCAATTAAAAACAACTTAACAAACTTAGTCTGTATGATGGTTCCAAGCCAGGAGCCTAGCCCTGAAGACAGCCAGCTCAATAGATCGAAAGACGATGGCTCGTCAGGTGAAATCTGTTGTGGTCAATGTACTTGTTCCCTAATTTTATGCTTCTTCTGCTTCTTCAAGAGGCATCTATCACATGCAGTGGGAGGTGCTGCCTATCACGCATGCCCAGTAAGTAGATAACCAAGGGCTACACGATTATTTAAAACTGTTTGAGCCAACGAGTTAAGTGCAAGTTGCTGAGCTGAAAGTGTTTTGGCTGTGGAATCGGCCGACCCTCCCAAATGTGAGGGAGCGATTTCTGAGCATTTGTTAATTGGCGAGGAAAGAAAGCTCTCCTGTGGAGG